ATACAAAAGTTAATTGCTTTCCTATATACCAGCAATAAAAAACTAGAATTTTAAAGTAAAAACATAATACCATTTACATCAGCACTAAAAGAAACGACATACTTAGGTACAAACCTAACAAAATATAGACAAGATCTATATGAGGACAACTACAAGACTCTGGTGAAAGAAATAAAATTTCTAAATAAATGGAGAGATGTTCCACATTCATGGATAACGAAACCAAATCAAACCCATTGCTGTCGAGTCAATTCTGACTCATAGTGACCTTATAGGACAGAGTAGAACTGCCCCACGGGGTTTCCAAGAAGCAGCTGGTGGATCTGAACTGCTGACCTTTTGGTTAGCAGCCTAGCTCTTAACCATTCTGCCACCAGGGCAGTCATGGATAGGAAGACTTAATGTTATTAAGATTGCAATTCTTCTTCCCAACTTGATCTACAGATTCAGTGCAATCCCAATCAAAATCCCAGCAAGCTGTTTTGTGGATACTGATAAACTGATTTATAAAGGCAAAAGACCAAGAATGGCCAACAGAATAATGCAGACTAGAGTTGGAGGACTGGTATTACCCTACTTCAAGAGTTATTCCAAAGCTATAGTGATCGGGGCACTGTGGTATTGAGGAAAAAATAGGAAAATAGATCAGTGAAACAGAATAGAGTCCACAAATTGACCTACACAAATATAGTCAACTGATATTTGACAAAAGGAGCAAAGGCAATTCAACAGTGAAAGGATAGTCTTTTCAACAAATGGTGCTGGAACAAATGAACACCGACATGTAAAAACATAAATATGACACAGCTTACATCTTTCACAAAAATTAACTCAAAATGGCTCATAGACCTAAATATAAGACACAAAATAATACAGCTTCTAGAAGATAACACAGGAGAAAATCTAGGTGACCTTGGGTTTGGAGATAACTTTTTAGATACGCATCAAAAGCATGATTCATAAAAGAAAAAACTGATAAGTTGGACTTCATTAAAATTAAAAACTCCTGC